GCCTCTGTGGTGACAGGAGGCCCAAAGCATGGCAGCTCCAGTCATCTGTTAGAACAGACCTACCAGAGAGGCTGTGTGTCCATTTTCCTGCTGATCCCCAAAAGAACAATGAAAGCCCTTCTCTCTGCCAGGCAGCCCTTCGCAAAATCAATTGAACAAGCAGCTGAGCAGAATTGTTCTGGGCATAGATTTTTCTTTCCATTTGGAGACTTGCTCTAATTGTTTTTTTTTCCTTTTTCGTAGTTGAGACTGAGGTGGGCATTGCCTGCATCAAGTTCTTCTCCCTCCCGTGGCTGTATGTTTTCAAGGCAGTGCCCAAAGGGGGCCACATACTTTATGGCTGAGGAGAAAAAAGGAAAGACGTTAACATCAGAAGAGTAAATACGTTTAAGACTTGGGAAAAAAGTGAAGTAGCGGGCCGGCCAAGTGGCTCAGTTGGTTAAGAGCTCGCTCAAGAGTTTGAGCTCTGAGCAACAGCGGTTCAAGTCCAGCCCGAGCTGAGCAGCCGCCTGAGCTGCCAACAGGTGGCAGGATGGCTCAGCTAAAAAAAAAAAAAAAGCGAAGTAGCTGTTGGTCTTGTGTTGATCAGTCAGGCGAGACTTGTATTAAAGGCAACATATTGGAAACAGAATCATTAGAACCCCTTAGAACCTTCTAGTTTATCTGGCATCATAGAGCCACACAGAAGGAAGACACCTGGGACATCATCAAGTAAATCCTTCCTCAGTGCAACAGATACCCCTATGGCACCTGGATAGGCAGTCCCCTGAGCTCTGCTTGAATATGTGGCGTGACAGGGTGCTCACTACCTCACAGGCGGTGTATTTCATTTGGGTGGAAGGAACCACTGGGGCCATGAACGCAGCCTCTTTTGCAAATGGATTCTCCAGCTCCCTCTGTGGTCTTCCTGCTTTATGCTTGCTCACCTCGACTTGCACATTTCTGGTGACAAAGAGCTCATTACCTCTTTAGCTGGGCCACCCAGCCTGATATCCGTCAGTGCTGGCTTCAGAGATTTAAAGGTGGGCAAACAGGCCCTGCCTCCCAGTAGCACCATCTCATGGGAGAGGCAGACAGATGATCAGGTACATGTCATCTCAGCGTGACCAGCAGCGGACACGTGCGTGATGGCAGAAGTTGTAAGAAGGATGCAGCAATAACCTCCCTACAAGGTCTGGGAGGGCTTCTCAGAGGAGGTGCCCATGAGTTTGGGTTTTGGAGGACAAATGAGAATTGGGGAAGGAGACAAAAAAAGGAATGTCATTCTAGGTGAAAAAAAATAGCTGGTGCCAGGTCCGCAGCATGAGCAGTGTGGTGTGTGGGGAACGTTTGAGGGTGGAATTGCTTGGGTGTGAAGCGCCGTGTGGGAGTAGCAGGAGGGGTGTGGATTGGTGGGGATCGCACCCTGCTAAGAATCTGAAGTTTAACCTGAGGACTCGGTGAGGCAGCAAAGGGTTTAAACCCGGGGAAACTTGCTTAGATTTGCATTGGAGAATAGTCTATTTCACGGTGTTGGATGGATGAGCAGGAGGTGAGGGCAGAGGCAGGGTAACCAGCTGGCTGGGAGGCTCCCACGGTGGTCCAGGGAGTGGTGATAAGGAACACATGAACAAATATCAGACACTGATTAAGAACCTCAGCGCTTTACACACTTTCTTTCTTCCAACCTCTCAACCACTCAGTGAAGTCAGAGACATTGTTATCCCCACTTCACAGATGAGAAAATTGAGGCTCAGAGAGGTTATAGGACCTGCCCAGGTTCACATAGATAGTAAATGACCAAGCCAGGACTTGAACCCATATTAGACTCCAGAGCCGTGCTCATCGTGACTAATGCGGATGGTGCCATGGGAACAGAGAGGAGGGGTACTAACAGGAGGCATGGGCATCAGATGGCCGCCAGGCATAGCCCCAGCATAGGACAGAGCCTACCTGGTGGTTCCCATGAAGAGACTCTAGTAAAGGGACTACATACAGAGGGGGTAGAGGCATGTCTTTCTGAGCCCAGAGAGGGCTGAAGCCATGAGGAGCCAGCTACAGCCAGAGACACAGCACAGAAGCAGTGGCAGTGGGGAGCACATGCCCCGTCTTCTCTCTCCGTGCACCCTCCAGCCTCCCGATGAGGCCTTCCAGATCCAGCCAGCGGGCAAGGGGGCCCAGGTGGTGCTGGCATGGGGCCCCACCTCTCAGAGCGTAGGGAGGGGCGGGAGGAGGAGGGGAGACAAGGAGAGGGCCTCGGGGATTGAACAGAAGAGCGAGACTGGGGTAGGATTCCTGGGGAACTTCCAGGTCCCTGACTGGGATGACAGGTGGAAAATGGCACCCTTACCTGACACGGGAAGAACTCTTGTTGCTCAAGGGAAGGGCTGATGGGCTCAGCTTGGGCTGTGGAGTGTGAAGGTTTTGTGGGACACCTAAGTGTCACCTAAGTCTCCAGTGACAGTGGCATATGCAGGTCTGGAGCTCAGGAGAGAGATAGAAACTGGGAAAGAGATAAGGGAATTGTCAGGACAAAAAAAGTAGTTGAAGCCTGAAAGTGGGGGCGATAACCCAGGGAGAGCCCTTAAATGGGCAAGTCTGAACCCTAAGGTCCATTTCCATCTTAAAGAGATGGTGGAGGAGTGGAGAGAGAAATCACACATCCCTTTGGCAGAGGCCAAGCCCAGCGCTGACCCTGAACAGAGCCATTCTGGGTGGGTGGCTCTGTGGGGGGCCCCACTGTTCTGCTTTCAGGGTCTGTCCTCTGGTGGTGTTTCATCCTTGTCTGAAGAGCAATCTCCAAATGGGGTGTGAACCCACTGGGATCATCTTGTACAGGAACATATTACAGCTTTTATTTACTTTTATTTTTTTTATGGAGGAAAATCATGAAAGAAATTAAGCTGTAGTAATATTTAATACTTGGACTGACCCCGGGACCCTGGCTCATGAGAACGTCTGGTGGCCTTTAGGCAGGAACGCTTGCAGGGACAGAGTCCTTGGTCAGTCCATTACACCAGAGAGTGATGGAGCGTTGTGTCGAGGGTCCCCATGACAGTCCCCTCCTCAGTAATTCACCAGGAGGACTCAGCATGTAGCTGCACTCACAGCAATGATTTATTACCGTGAAAAAGCAAAATCAGCAAAGGGAACAGACTCAGGGGGCAAAGACAGCAGAAACCAGGTGCACGCTTCCAAGAGCCTCTCCCAGCAGAGTCACACAGACTAGCTGAATTTCCCAGCAATGAATTGTGACAACATGTGTAATACATTGTCTACCAGGGAAGCTCACGAGGCACTCAGTGCCCAGAGATTTTATTGGGGGCCGGTTACCGAGGCACCCTCTGCCTACTATGTACCCAAATCCCAGACTCTCAGGAGGAAAGCAGCGGCACAGCATAAAAACCACGTTTACATGAACAGCTTGGGCACAGAGAGTCACTCTTATCATTGAGGGAATGGTGGAGTCCCAAGTTGCTAGAAAGGCAGAGTGAGGGGGCTCCACCAAGGGACTCGGCTGGAGCACTTTTGGGAACTTCCTGCATGTGCTGACGGCTACCCTAGGCTGGGCAGCCCTGCTGTGTCCGATTCCTCTGGACATTGAGGGCCTGACCTATCTGCCCCAGACTGGCTGTCTCTTGCTCCTATCACATCCACCTTCCTGCTGTGTTCAACTGAGGCAGGTGGGAACTTCTCATAGGGAACTTAGCTAAACAGAGCTGAGGGAGAGCTGAGGAAAAACGGAAAAACCAAAGCCTAGAACTAGAGCTGTAGAGCACACAGCTTTTTTGTCCCAATGAGCAGGAGGCCCCAGAGCTTGGTGGCACATAGCCCAGGGCTGGGCCATGAAGTGGGCCCCAGCTTGGAGCTAGGCGAGTCTCCTGGCTGTTAGAAGGTGTCCAGTCCAGCTGGTAAGGGTGAAGTCTGGAGAGGCAGGGGTCTGGCCGTGATGGCAGTACAGGAAGAGAATGGGCATCCAGGCGGCTCCTGAGACCTAACAGATGGTGAGCGGCCCTTCCCAGCCTACAGGGATCCAGGCTGTTGGATCCTATCAGGGCTGGCAGTTCCCATCAGGCACTAGCCCAGGGCTGGGTATCAGGGTACATCTTTGTCCTGGGGAATAGGCGAGAGCCAGACCGAGCCTTAGGCCTAAGCAGGGACTCACGGTCCATTGTGGGCTCAGTGTCCAGGCTGGCCAGACTCCTGAGGCCACACAGTACAGTAGGAGCCGAATAGCCTGACCATGGTGGGAGGGGCTGGGCAGCAGGACCCAGGCAGCATTGCACCTCTCTCCTGGGGAGTAGGAAGGTCAGAGCCCTTTTTCTCCAGCCTTCGTCCCTAATTGAGCAGCCCCTTGTGATGGTCTGGAGCTGGCCTGGATGCCACTGCCAACTGGGTGTCCCCAAGGCCAGCTCTGGCTGAGTCCTGCCATGCTCTGCCAGAGTGATGAGTTTGCTAAGCATTGAAGGAGGCCCCTAACAGGCTCATTTGTCTGCCCACTCTCAGCCCTGTGGCTCCGTGCCTTCCTCCACCCCCTGCCCACAACCTGGGACTCAGGATTGCCATAGAAGAGGTTCCCAGGGCCAGCTGGTCTCCTGTAGACTCAGGTGAGGAGACAGAGAAGTCAGCGATGATGGTCACTCTGCAGGTCTGTCTTTCACATGGAAGGCACTCAAGGAAGGAATGGAGGAGGGAAGGCCCGTGGGCTAGTATGTCATCCATTAGTGATTCCTCAATGGTCCTGGGACTCTGTGCCTCTCGCTGTGATTGGCTCCCTTGCGGCTGTGGGCCCATTGAAGGCAGGGTTTGAATTTCAGACACCCCTGCACCCAGGGCCCTGGGCCTGGCAAGTGGCAGATAGAACTAAATGTCTATCAACTTGAAATGTGATTGTAGAACTATTGATGCCAGTAAAACTCTGATTTGTAGAGCACCTGACCCTGTCGTCGAGAGTTGCCTTGTTGGAACGTTGTTGGTCCACCTAAGAGATGTTAATGCCTCTGTTTTCTCGTGGCGTGCAGGTCAGGACCTGGATTCTCACCGTGGGCTACACAACGGCCTTTGGGGCAATGTTTGCAAAGACATGGAGGGTCCACGCCATCTTCAAAAATGTGAAAATGAAGAAGAAGGTAATCACTCCTTCTGTTTGAGGGTGTCTGCAGTGTTCACTTATCATTTATTTAGCAAATACTTATTAGGCACCTACTCTGTACCAGGCACGGGGTTATTTGCTGGGGATTCAAGATAAACACAATCCCTGCTCTCCCCCATCCCACCCCGTCTATACCTGCAGTCACCTGGGGAAATCAGTGAACAGAGCGTTTCTAACGCAGTGAGCAGGGCTTGTTGGGGACATGGGTACTAGGATACAAGCCCTCAGGGAAGCCTTCCTACCGAAAGTGTCACCTATGCTGAGACCTGGAGGCTGAGTAGGGGTTAGCCAGGCAGAGGCTGGGGAGTTTTTGAGTCCTGTAGAGGGAACCGTGTGCACAGAGGCCTGGGGAGGGGAGGGGTGTATTCATGTTGCTGAAAGAGGCCCATTGTGGCTGGGGCGTGGGGTTCGTGAGGACGGGGTACCAGAGGAGGCTACAGGGAGAGGCAGGAGCCTGGGAAGGAACCTGAACTTTAACTTTTGGGCAATGGGTGCCCTTGAAAGAAGGGATGGACCTGATTTAATGATTTCACTTTCACAAAGGGCTTTAGAGGACAGGGGTTTTGCCTTCACGGAGGTGGGAGGCATTTGCCACCTGTGTGGCTGGGCGTCACCAGCATGTTGACTAAGCTTGACTCAGGATATGTCAGAGCAAAACTTTCTCCACCACTGTCCTTTGTAACTCTTCCAGTGGTGCTGTTCTTCCCCTGCTCGAGATAAAACTTCAGGCAAATCTCATAACGATGAAGGGCCTCTGGTCAGCAACTAATAAGTGGAATCCATCCTAATATCCCAAAATTCAAACAGCATTCAGAAGCACAGTTTCTCCCCCGCCCTCGCACTTAGGCCTGCCACCTGCCCCGAGAGAGGCGTGCAGGTGGGCTGCTTCTCATTTATCAGCCTGAGTTTTTTCTCCATCATCCTATTCCCAAGGTTCCCAAACACTGCAGAGTTGGAGCTTAGAGTGGTGGAAGGACCAGGGATGACTTTTATGTGCCAGTAGCTAGCATTGGGCTTGTCGGGCCTGGCAGGAGTTAAGCTGGCCCTTTAGACTCTCCTGGGTGTTTTCGTGGGTTTCTCCAAGCCCCCCATTACTGGGAATTTCCAGCAGTGCCCTTGACATGGGTGAAACATCCCCCGTGTTGGCCATATGTGGTGTCCAACTACTGTCCTTCCACCCCCGATATCATGCTTATCTATTACAATTCCATTGACTCCATTCCCACTCTCTACTCCACATCCCATGAGTATGTGTATATATAATTATGGTTGACATACAATATTATTCAACATCAGCTTCAGAAATACAGTGCAGTGGTCAGGCTTCTACACCAACTATGAAGTGGTCTCCCTAACAAGACATGAGTCCATCTGGCCCCTTAAAAAATATTTACAACATTATTGATTATATTCCCCAGACTGTCTTTTCTATCACTGAGGCCATATTGTAGTTACCAATTTGTATTGTCTCGTCCCT